GACCCAAGTGGGAGTGTGTATGTGTGCTTGTTTAGAGAGAAAGAGAGAGAGAAAGAGAGAGAGAAAGAGAGAGAGCTTAAGTATGAATGTGTTGGCAGAACAATATCTCTCTCTGTGCCTCGGCTCTTAATGCACTTCATTGGTTTCGTGGACAGTGTGATCAGAGCATAGCAGCCGAGCAGAGCTGGACTAAACCACAGGAGGAACATTGTTCAAATCAAATGAGTCAGGCAACATCACTTGTTCCGTTTTTCGTGGGGTTCATTCTCACTGCGACAGGTAGGCTGCATGCGCTCACTTTATTAACCGGAACAATGGTCAAAGTGCGCAGTAAAGTAGACCCTAAAATCTATTGTGTCTCGTCGTGCATGATAAACCGGGCTCTTTGTAAAAGTCGCTCTTATCACCTCTTTTATATTCGATTGTCCTCCATCAGAGCAGCGTGCAGCCATCAGCATTCATTAAAGTATTACATGGGGTGCAGAACTTAACTTAAACCAGAAGGGAGCGGTGTCATGTGACAAAGAGAGTAAAGTGGTGTTTCAGAAAAAAGAAGTTTCACATAAACCAACAAGACCATTCCATAAACAATGTGTTTGATGTCAGAGTGTGTACATTACGTAATACTATCAACCTTACCTCCTAGAAAATAAAAGTTTGATTCTTCTAAATACGAGCCTGTTTCTGTAACAGTGCAGTCTGCTTATCACTGTGCATCTCGAAAAGAAGCTGGAGGAATGCTCATGTTTATTTTCTCACTGGTTATTGGGAGGATTTAGAGGGGTGACACCACATTGACTGTAAACCAGCAACTGTTAAAGGTCAGGTGTATCTGATCATTGTTTTGTGTTAAAGAAACATTTTAAATGTATTTAAAAATAAAATCTTGGATATTAAGTTAAAAGTTAAACCTTTGTTTTTAAGTACTTAGGGTTGGTCATTTTGGGCAAAGTACATGAAGATACACAGAGAGTGAAATTGCAGTTCCCCTTCAATTTTAATGAATAATCACCACCCTCATAATTTATTCAGTTATATATTTGTTTAATATATCATATTATTTGTCCTTTTCACATCTCTCACATTAAACTAGATTAGGTCATTTCTGTATTCGTTTGCACATCAATGAAAGTTTTCAGGTTAAATCAATATGTGATTAGAAAACACAATATATTTATTGTATAAAGAGTATTTCTGACTGGATTAGATTGAGAACGTTTAATTTAGTTTATCTTTGGCACTGCGGCCACAATTAGTTTTCCTTTTCTAATACTATAGGTTCTGTGAGTAGAAAATAATGTTTGGTGTACAAGTAATATAATGAGGAATGGTTATAATCTATTGGTGATAGCAAACTGTGAAAATCAAGATGGTTAAAATTGCTCCTTTTGATAATATAACTAAAGCTCTTCTTTGACATACATCAAAACCTTAGTGAGCTGCAGTTTTGGGATAAACCTCCTTTTATTCACCTGTCGACAATATAAAAGAAGTAAAAGATACAATGAAATGTTCCACGTATATAAACATAACATTTACCTGCACTTCTATTCTGTAGGTGTGCAAGCCACTTGTCCCATTGAGCTGAGCCCCCCTGCAGTTGTGGTAAGATATGGAGACCCTGTCTCAGTGAACTGCAGCACATCAGAGACCCAGATAAAGGGAATGGGATGGGAGGCAACACAAGGAGGCAAAAGTCTAGCACCGGTCAACCATTTGAATTGGAATGTGGAGAACCTGACGGACTGGAACATCTCTCCCATGTGCTTTTTAAATATGGCAGTTGGACAGTGCAGTAGGGAACTAAAAGTTGTTATTTACAGTAAGTCTTTTTCTTAATCAGAACAGAGTGGACAGACGCTGTGATTGTGTTTCATACCCACATAGCATCTGGATATGGGCCACTTCTGGCCCTCAAATGGATGTGAGCCTAAAGAGGCCCACATGCAAAATATGTGACATGTAAAATGTGGCCTTAATATGCCAATAGAGCACATTTTCTGGCAAACACCTTGTGCTCTAGGCACAGTGTAATCTGGATATGAACCCAAAGTTCTCCATGTGGCAAAAACAAATTTAGGGCAACCTTTGGCACCTCTGGTTGATAGGTGGCATTGCTATGGCTTATACAGTTTGTGGCCCAGATCTGGTTCATTCCATGCGGTGTGTGGGCTTGATGACAATGTGGCAGTGGGACAGTGTGGGCCACATCTGGGCCAAAACTAGTGTGCTATGCGGATAACATCTACTTTTTCCTTTAGGGTTCCCGGAAAAAATACTCATCAGCTCCAGCAGTGGCTCCGATGGTGTGATGAGAGAAAACGAGCAATATACCCTCACATGTAAAATCCAACAGGTGGCACCTATAGAAAATCTTACTGTCACATGGTACAAAGGAGATAGTCCAAGCACGTTCAATCCCATTAAGACACCAGGAGATCAGCTATCTGTCTACAGTTTTACACCGACTAGACGTGACAATGGAGTCAAATTCAGATGCGAGGCACACATGGACCTCAGGCCAGAGGGGCCACAACTGAGTGTGTCATCACAAGAGATAAATATTACAGTTAACTGTAAGTATTTTGGTTTTTACACAGTGTTTTGTTTTATAGCCTAAATGTATAGTCAGTGCATCAGTTAAAAAAGTAACCATCAGATTTATTTTGTAAGAAAATTATATTTTTCAGCTGCAGCCCTAATTCTCAGTTGGCAATAATACATTTTAGTTTCTCAGTGTAATAAGGCTGTACAGTTGTATTCTTACTGCTTTTCATCTAGTAAATAAAAGCAAAATAGTATAAAAGTGATTTAATGTATTTGCTTCTGTATAGATGGACCAGAAGTACAATGTTCTGCCATTGTTAATGTACTGGAAGGGGAAACTTTGGAGAGTCGGTGTCCAGTGGAAGGAAATCCAACCCCCTCATTCAGATGGATGAAAGATGGGGAGCCAATAAACCCCAGCATCCCTCTGACCAGGAAGAACGCTGGGCTGTACTATGTTGAGGCCCAAGGTGCTTCCATCATCAACAACACAATCCAGGTTCTGGTAATGTGTGAGTGTCACATTCAGTTTCTATTGCAAATCTACCACAATACTGAAACTCTCAATATTTTCTATAAGAGTGTCCTTTTTTGCAGTGTTTGCAGTTACTACGTTGTGGTTTTGTTGTTCAAAAGATTTAATATGTAACAATTATTCACTGAAATGTCTAAAATACAACCAGACATATGTTATCTATTATGTTGACTTGTGTGCTGACATATACAAATACAAAATGTTTAATTTCGCTTTCAGATGGACCAGAGCTGTGGTGTCCAGGCTCTTACACTGCACTGGAGAACACTCCTCTCAACCTGAACTGCACGGTTGTGGGCTATCCTAAACCTGAAACAGTGTGGTACAAAGATGGTGAAGAGGTGGAACTTTCAGAGTACCTAACGAGAAGCGACACAGGGCTGTACGTGATCGTAGCTTCAAACAATCTGACAAGTACCAATGTGACAGTGGAGATTAATGTCATGTGTAAGTTAAATTAATGAGAATTATGAGTGAAAGGTTCTGTCTTTTACACTGGTGAATTTGCCTTTGCTTTCTTTCTGACCGATCTGGATTCAATTGTCCGCAGACCCACCCTCACCCATAGTAGAGCTCGAAGACTCCAAAGTTGAGATGGGTTCTACTGCGTGGCTGAAATGCTCCTCTATGGGAAACCCACGACCAGAATATAGGTGGGATTATTACAAAGCCGCCAATGTAAAGGAGGAAAATGAAGACGGAGTGTCCCGTCTACTCATCTACAATGCCACTCCGTACAACATGGGCTCCTACAAGTGTAACGCCTTTAATGGGATAGGAAATGTCTCTAAAACAGCCAGTGTCGATGTGACAGGTAAGGTCAATATACTGTAATATAGCAACCATATTAAAGAAAGGGCCTGATGCACTCACTGAAATATCTCAACAACCATTCATTGTCATTTTCAGACATTCCAGACTATCTTGGGTTTTTGATTTGCTTTGCAGTATAGTTATCGTGGAGTGGAATTACAGTATTGAGGTCCCACTGCTACACACGCTTGACCATGCGCGAGACAGTCTCAGCTGTCAATCATGATGTTGCTCCCCTTATATATAGCATAAAATAACAAATTAGAACCAAACTCACTGAAAAATGTTGCACTTGATCATGGATCAGAGTGATGTCAACCACCTAAAATTACTAAAATGAGACAAAATGTACTTTGTGCTTTTGGCTGCAATGCTGTTTACTCCTGAGACTCCTTCAGTGTTCTGGGTGAACTATCCCTTTAAATAAAAATCTCAAATTAAAAAGACACCAAGTCAGCAAGGCGGAGGGAGTTTACTTTCTAATAATAATTCCTTCGGGCTCTCGACGGTCTCCCCCTGGTTGTTTAATTAAAAAGGTTAAGGTATGCTGTGACAGATTACTGTAATTAATACACTGAATCAACAATAATAAACAGACCGACATACAACGTATTTAAAGAAAAACAAAGGGGACGACAAAGGTTGAGTAAGAGGAATGAACTGAATCAGATAAAAACATAATATTCAACAATAATATATTGTATATAGATTGTAAGGGTTAGGCATTTAGTTAGTTATTTTGATGTGTGTGTACTCTTGTACAGCTATCTTTGTGAGGACCCCCCCTTAATGGACTGTTTGGGGGTTAAGACTAGAATTAGCTTTATCTTAGGTTAAGGGTTAGGGTTAGGGATTTAGTTTGGATGGTTAGAGTTAGGATTAGGGGCTGGGGAATGCATCATGCC